TGTAATAATTTTTATTATTATTATTATATTATTTTTTCTCCCACTAGCTTGTGTTCAAATTTGGGTTCAGGGAAATGCCCCCTATTTAACCTCCTCTGGATTGTATTATATTTACATTAGATTAGTGAAAGAATTACTATAATATCTGCTTTATATGATTAGGTCCCTGCCAATTGCATCTTAATATATTCATTTGGTTCCTGATCTATCTAGTCACTTAGAATGATGTTGGCTTTAGCAGCAACAAAATTCTTGCAGACATTGTAGAATGTGTGTAGTTCTCCAAAAAGGCCGGCTCCAATCACACTTGGAATTGCAATTTTGCATGGCAAGTTGAATCAGTCCTAGCGTCTCATATTGCTTAGGTATTCCATTAGTGAGATACCCCAATCAGTATTCCCCATGGAGCCAACTGTCACAGCCAGTAGAAAGCCAAATGATGGTAGCACTTACTCTCTATGGATTCTCCATAATGTAGCTTAAGCAAATAATTGGGGAATTTAGCTATCGGAGTTGCACACTTTCTTTATGGCCTTGTGGGAAGGGAGGACTCGTAATTTGGTTAGGGAAATCTCGCCCATGGAGTCTCATTGACATATAAAAAGTCTCCAGTCAAATGATCTGAATTATGCATCGAGCGAACCTTTAAACTTTCGGCTTGTCTTTTGACGCCTCAACATTTGTATGTATTTTTCATTTTGTGTCTTTTATGACTCTATACATCTTGATTGGTCATTAATGTTGCAGCATTAGTTAAAAAATTCACATTGATATGCTACAGTTTCCTAAGGATGGTTCCAGTGCTGACAAAACTATTTGTGAATGCGGTAATATACTGTAATGCTACACATTATAGAAATATGTTATGGATAATTAAATGTTAAAATGTTACTCAGCCAGACACATTACTTTGCTGCATTTTCACGTTACTGCCAGCATTAGTTTACATTTTATATTTTTTTTCACGCTGTGATCTGGAAGTATACGATATATGACCTTAAGATATCTTATTTTCTTGCGAGGACTCCCTGCGTTTGACCCCAGAACTTGTTGCCGGTGGGAGCTGTGCTACGGAGAAGACACATGAATCCGGCTTACACTGAGAACAATTAACCTTCTTTTTCCTACACACGCTGAGAGCCTTCTCTTAGCTAAGGCCACATCTATTCACTGGTGACCCATAATGCATTCCAACACAAGGTGTTCCATTTTCCTCTGGCAGCGTATGGGGTACCCATCCATCACAGTGGTTCCTCCACTCCCGGGGGGACAACCTTTCCCAGCTGGGTCGGTAGTTATAGAGCGAGGCAAAGTGGTGTCACTTAGCATTGCTGATCCCATTTGTTCTGCGCTAAGAAGAATGTTCTGTCACAGGCCGCTCTTCCCTTTGGCCTGAGAGAGCGATAAGACAGAAGAAGGGGGAGAAATTTGGATTATTTAAAACTCATTCATTGATAAACTGCGCACGTTGACATCCTGGAGCGTGTTGCTTTTGCAGGAAGGACAAGGTCTCGAGCACAGCTACTAATAGAGCAGGCCCTGAGTGAGTATGTGTGGTAAATTGAATGCAGGCCATAGGTTACAACCCCGGACAGGCTTCTGCCCCTGTCTGCCATGGCAGTAGTGTTTCACAGTTTGGCAGCAGCTTGCAGCCTGGGCTAGCACTGTGCTTGCTGGCTACTAGGGAGAGAGTGCCAGGTGTGGAGTGCAGAGGAACGTGATCTCATTAGATATTCCAGTATGAGGAAAGCCAAATGCTGCTCGGTGACTGTCAGACAGGAAAAGCAATGTAAGGTTTGTTCTACAGTCCATATTCAGCATGGAAGCAGCAATAAAATGTTCTATCACTGTGGCTAACAGACACATTTTGCCATTGGAAACTTTGTAAAGAGACCCTTTGTGAATTGTTTGTCTTGGGACACAATCTGTTTCACAAACAGATTGCAATTATTTGATTATTTCTTGTCTTATTTATTATTTTTATAATATTAATAGAAGTGACCTATGGGTGCAAAGCCACCTTTTAATAGTGGAACACAAGAATCTCCCATTTCCTTTAAGTTTGAGACAGATTTTCCACTTTTTTTATACTATATTTCCCTTTCTTAAAACCTAAAGACACATTTTTTTTATAGACAAGGAAAGAGTTAAAACGTCTGTGTTGTCTGCAACCACATTGGAGGATTTTCCCTCACTTCCGGTACTTGTGACACCTATGAAAGAAATGGGGGGTGCGACTGTAAGAAGTTCTTACCCTTCTCCACTTTTATAAAAAATATGATTTTTGTCTGAGATTTACAATTAATTCCTATGCTGACAAGAAATAAGTAATATCTCCCCAAAAGGGGACACAACACTTAAGGCCTCATTCACATGGATGTGTACAGCCATACGTCCGTGCAGAAGAATGTGCCCAGGAGGCACAACCTGGTCGGCATGTAGCCTCGTACAGCCACGTCCTGTCATAGAAATGCACGGGCGGCTACACGTGGTTACATGCAGTACCTGTCCCTCTCAGATGCGGGCTTCTGCACTGATGTGCATGCTGTAGGACTGTGCACGGTGATGTGTGTGAATGTGGCTTAAAA